AAACAAATGAATTTGGAAATATCAGGCAAGGAGGAAATAGTGATATAATTTGCTTTTTCCAGTATTGAAAGATGCCAGCTCTGTGCTTATCTATATAGAGTAAGCAACATTTAGGAAATTATATATTTTTATAGCAGTTAACAATTGAAGAGGAATTTATGAAGCGCTTACTGTTAGGCAGTATGAGAATTTGTTTAAAGTATTAGATATTCCAGAATCATATTGAAAAAGACATAAATGCGATTCTAAAATGTATAAACTGCTAGTAAACAAATGAAGGTATAATATAATTTGGTCCAAGAAACCCCCACATTCAGAGCTTACAGAAAATATACTAATTTTTTTTCCCTTCCTGGCTTTTACAGCCGTATTAAAACAAAAAATTCTGGTGACTGAGGATTCAAATTAAAAAGAAAGAAGAAAACATTTTAAAAACCCCAAAGCATGAACTCCTCCACACCAAAACTTCAAAAGTTAACTGGCTCATATAGTTTACCCAATCCTTGACCGGCAGAGAGACTCACCATCTCCAGCCACGCCTAGAAGGTCCTGCTGGTCCTAAGTCCCTCAGGGTTCAGGTCTCAGTCCACCCAGCCAGAGATGATCGCTGTGCATCCTCCGACAGACGGCAAAGCCACAACCTAGCCCTGACCTACAGTGAGGCATGTCAGTTCTGAACTTCAGTTAATCTCGGGAATCTGAAATCATTCATTTTAGCAAAGTGTTTTAAATTCCTTCAAGATTGTCTAAACCATTTGCTCTGAGTGAGTTGTAAGGACACAGGTACGAAGCACCTCAAGCCTCTGGAGACAGTTTTGAACAGGACGTGCAAGCCAGCAGAGGCCCTCTCCTCCTCCCTAGGCAGCAGTGCCGTGGACCTGAGGGTGACCCACCATCCCCCGCCTGTCTCTGGGAAACCCCTTCTGTAGGAAACAAGAATTTCCCACTTCCCCAGCACCTAAGTGCCATCCTTCTGTCTGATGAAATGAAAGTAGAAATATCTCCATCTTCTGGGGAAAGCTTTCATTTTCTTGCAAAAAGGAAAAATGCAGCTGCTGCGACTCCTGTATCCCCGACTTCAACCTTGAACTGGGGCCGGGTGCCTGGAGATGCAGGTGTGTCTCAGACTGCAAGTGACTCCAGCTCACTGCAGTGGGTGGAATAGAACATGATCCAGCCTCTGCACCGTCCTGGACTGCTCACCTCGACTTCTACAAGAAAAGGAAGTCCCTTTTCGTTAAGTCACAGTAAATTGGGGTTTCTGTTACTTAAAATCAGACCTGTACCTGACAGATAGGGAATGTGGTATCTGAAAGCCAGTGGCTCCAGGGGACAGACACTAATGTACAGCGTTGGCTAAAAGGAGGTCCAGGGATAGAGTGAGGACCCGACTCCTTCAGCCTGGAAAATTACGGTCCTACTTGATAGTAGCTAATCAGTGACATGCTCACCTGCTGGGAGACCTAAAGACTAAAGCTGTAGTGTGAAACAGTGGTTCCCACACCTTTTTGGCACCAGGGACCAGTTTTGTAGAAGACAATTTTCCACATACCAGGGTTGAGGGATAGTTTTTGGATGATTCAAGTGCATTACATTTATTTGCACTTTCTTCTATTATTATTATATTGTAATATGTAGTGAAATAATTATACAACTCACCATCATGTAGAATCAGTGGCAGCCCTGAGCTTGTTTTCCTGAGACTAGGGCCAGCCTCGGGGAGGCAGAAGAGGAGGTGGGGAGTTACCAGGGCCAGCCTCTGGGAGATGGAAGGTGTTAGGTTGGATGATATGTGGAGAGGAGGTCTTTGATATGGCTGCTTGATCATGTGACCAAACAGAATAGACCAGGAATTTACAACTAAATGTCTAAGGTAATTACATTGTCAAAGAAACTGCAGGGTGCTATGGCTCACTCCTGTAATCCTAGCATCTTGGGAGACCCAGGTGGGAAGATCACTTGAGCCCAGGAGTTTGAAACCAGCCTGGGCAACATGGTGAGAGCCCATCTCTTAAAAAAAAATAATAATTAATTAACTGGGTGCAGTGGCACGTGCCTGTGATCTCAGCTACAAAGGAGGCTGAGGTGGGAGGATCACTTGAGCCCAGGAGGTTGAGGCTGCAGTGAGCTATGATTGCACTGCTGCACTCCAAGTCTGGGCAACAGAGCGAGACCCTGTCTCAAAAACAACAAAGAAACCCTCAGGCTGGCTAGCAGTAGCCCCTGTCTGTTAGGCCATGAAGCCATCTGCAGCCCCTGAACCCATACTCAAGAACTGAATTGCAAAACCCTATGTCCTCCATCAAGGGTGTCCTGCACAGGGCCCTCCTTTGATGAAGCCATGGAAGACCCTCCCAGAGGCCATGGCAGTCAGTGGGAAGGTCTCCCAGAGGGCAGACACAAGGTGCCAGGCTGGCTTACCAGGGAGCTCACTCTATCACCGGGGCAGGGAGACCTCACTGCTCCTTCCAGCGGGATCTCAAGTGTGACTAGTTCTGTCTTCCCATCCTCTGAGTTTCTGAAAGGGGAGTTTACTGCAATGATCTGTTTCCTCTCCCACCATTCTTTATTCGATGTATTGACGACAGACTACTTGTCTTGGGGCTATAGCTGGGGGAATCACGAGGATCTCCCTCTGGACCCCAAGGGGAGGCCTGCACATCATCTGGATGCCACGGCTCAGGTGGTCTTGAGGGCGGTCCTCCAAGCCTTGGGCGGGGGCAGTGTGTTCTATAGAACAAGGTGCACTGGGGCTGACCTGGGAAAAGTGCAACCCGATTCTCATTCCCAAACCCTTTCTTGTATTTAACTTTGCAGAAATGTTCCATCTGCTCTCTCTCAGCTCCACTTGCAGCTAATCAAGGACGTAAGCAGGCCTCCACTGGAAGCAGGGAGGGGGACCTGGGAGTGCTGAGCCTTTCGGATTAAAGACACTGTACACTGCTGAATCCCAGATGCAAGGCAATGCCTGCCACTACCGCAGCCCGGCTGCAGCCTTGAGGAAGAGGACGCAGGAGGGAGCTACAGAGACTGTCTTTGACATGACTCAGCCTCCAAAGCAGGATTCTCTGCTGCTGCCTCCAGACTTTCCTGTTTTGTAAGAAAAACAAATCCCAATGTGCTTAAGCCTCTGAGAGTCAGGTTCTCATTGACATGTAGCTGACAGCATTTCTGAAGGCTGCAAACACACTCCAGAGATAAGATTCTACCCTGTCAGCAAAAACCATTTAGTGAAGTGGATGACCCTTTTTCAGTCAACACTGGTTTCTTGTACCAGCTTTGCGATCTTCCCAGGGGGTGAGATTTGGGGTGCACTGAGGAGGCCCCCCTACCCAAACTAACTCCAGCAGTTCTGTCATTGATGCCCAAACTTCTAAACGCAGAGCGTGTGGAAGACACAATTTGCGTGGTATCTACACACACACACCACACACATAGAGCTGTTAGAAGGAACCTGAACAGCCAGGAGGTGATATGGCAGCACGGGAGCTTCGCACAGAAAGCCAGGCTGTGGTTTCACACACTGCAGATCCTCTATCCCAGAAGCCAAATCTATTTTTTTTTTTTTTTTTTGAGACAGAGTTTCGCTCTTGTTACCCAGGCTGGAGTGCAATGGCACAATCTCGGCTCACTGCAACCTCCGCCTCCCGGGTTCAGGCAATTCTCCTTGCCTCAGCCTCCTGAGTAGCTGGGATTACAGGCACGCGCCACCATGCCCAGCTAATTTTTTGTATTTTTAGTAGAGACGGGGTTTCACTGTGTTGACCAGGATGGTCTCGATCTCTTGACCTCGTGATCCACCCGCCTCGGCCTCCCACAGTGCTGGGATTACAGGCTTGAGCCACTGCGCCCGGCCTCTATTTTTTTTTTTTTTTGAAGACAGCGTCTTGTTCTGTCACCCAGGCTGGAGTGCAATGGCGCGATCTTGACTCACTGCAACTTCCGCCTCCCAGGTTCAAGCGATTCTCCAGCCTCAGCCTCCCGAGTAGCTAGAATTGCAGGCGTGTGCCACCAACCTGGCTAATTTTTGCATTTTTAGTAGAGACAGGATTTTGCCATGTTGGCCAGGCTGGTCTCGAACTCCTGACCTCAGGTGATCTGCCCGCCTAGGCCTCCCAAAGTGCTGGGAGTATAGGTGTGAGCCACTGCACCTGGCCAGCCAAATCTATTTGTAACAGATTTCACTTTTGGAAAATTTCTCCATATAATCGAAATCTTTCATTTTCCAGTATAGACCTCTTTCCTCTTAGCGTTCTGTTCCTGCTGACTTGGAAGTGTTGTTTCTCTTTACATCATTTGCACGTCGCTCCTTCCTGTCTCCGGCTGCCTCTTCCCAGCCCTCCTCCACCTCTGCACACAGGAAACCTCATTCTGTGGTGTGAACAAGGGGACTCCTGACTTCCAGAAGTGACTTAGTCTTGAGCTGCCTGTGCCCTCCCCATCGCAGTGAATGTCGCCGGTTGGGGATGACTTGGCAGTGGGTGAGCAGAGGTCAGAGGAGTCCAAGCCTCTGAGGTGGGGGCAGGAGCAGGGAGGGGCTGTAGGCTCAGCTGGTGGGGCAGGAGGAGGAGAGCCGGGACCTAGGGGAGTGTGTGTGTGTGTGTGTGTGTGTGTGTGTGTGTGTGTGGTGGTGGGGTCAGTGGTGAGCGGGGAGTCTTTTATCTTTACCACTTGTCTGCCTGATTAACCCACTTTTCTTGGTTTCCAGGGAAAGAGTAAAAAAAAAGTTTTTTCTTTTTCTGAGACAAGGAGTAAAGCATGTGGCATCAAGACTGCAACAGCGGGCCGGCAGTTTGGGAGTCTGAGGGGGACGGATCACCTGAGATCAGCAGTTTGAGACTAGCCTGGCTAACATGGGGAAATCTCCTCTCCCCTAAAAGTACAAAATTAGCTGGGTGTGGTGGCACAGGCCTGTAATCCCAGCTACTTGGGAGGCTGAGGCAGGAGAATTGCTTGAACCCAGGAGGCCGAGGTTGCGGTGAGTCGAGATCACACCATTGCACTCCAGCCTGGGCAACGAGAGTGAAACTTCATCTCAAAAAAAAAAAAAAAGAAGAAAAAAAAACTGCAACAGAAGCATGGGGCACCCTGCAGCCTCTCATCTTCAGCCTCTGCGCTGGGATCCATCAATTCCCCTCCCACTTGACTGTCAGATTAAAAGGGTCTTTGCTAATTTCAGCCTAACTCAGGAGAAAGCTGACCTCGATTTAGCTGGAATGACAGTGATAACTAATTTGTACATCAGAATTAATAAAGCCAGCAATTTCCTCACAGGGAGGGAAAGATGATGTGGTTCTCTTGCATCTGCACTGAGATGGCTTTTTGGCAAAGGCAGAGAATGCTGATTCTCCACACTCCCAGGAGGGGGTTCTGCTGACAGCTCCTGGGCTGTCACCTGAATTGGGGTGTAGTGGACTAGGGACATCCCAAGCCAACCAGCCAGGCACTGGATGGGTGGGCTCTTGATCCCTTGAGATCACTGCAGTCTTTGAAGGAAAGTCAGTAGGTCTGGAAGCAAGTGTGGTGGGGGCCCCTTCCCCATGGGGTGCCAGGAACTCCTGTTAAAATAGCTCCACCAGACCTCCATATTTTCTGTCCTTTTTACAGGCAAGAATTCAACTCTGGGTCCTAAGCAGGGGTTATCCTGGTCAATAAGCAACTTCAGTTTCTTGGGACAGGACCCCAGCCTTGCTGGTAATGACATCATTGTTTCTTTACTGGGTAAGTCTCTCTTAACCCTGGAAAAGTTTATTTACACAGAGGAGTGTGAAATAAACTCAACTTTTGATATTTTGGGGTTACGTGTAGGCGATCTATATGTATTTGATATTTTAAGAAGTTGCCATTTTAAGAGAATGTGGCATATTTTAACTTGTAATTTTTAATTCAATGAATGGACTGGCCTCTTGATTCCAACTTAAAACACGTAATTGGGTAATTGATGTAGATTTGTGATTTAAACTCAGATATTCAACGCCAATTTATTAAGATTGTAGGCAAAATCGGAACATTTAAGAAAACCAGAGATTCACCATAGTTAGTTGCTGAGCACTTGAGAATGCTTGTGAGTAAACTGAAGCATTTAAAAGTATAAAGCATTGGCTAGGCTCCGTGGCTCACACCTGTAATCCCAGCACTTTGGGAGGCCAAGGCCTGTCTCTTCTAAAAATACAAAAATAAGCCAGGTGTGGTGACGCGTGCCTGTAATCCCAGCTACTTGGCAGGCTGAGGCAGGAGAATCGCTCGAACCTGGGAGGTGGAGGTTGCAGTGAGCTGAGATCACGCCATTGCACTCCAGTCTGGGCAAAAGAGCAAAACTCTGTCTCGAAAAAAATTAAAACATAAATTAAATAAAAGCTATAATTAGTCATGAGGTTTTAAGTTAAGCCTAAAAGTTTAAGGAAAGAGTAAAATTTTACATTTGAGTAAAATGAATATTAATTTAAAATGAGCAAACTTTCAAGCAGTCATTTCTGTATACATAAAAGCCACCCCCAATTACAGTGAAAATATAAAATTTGATATTTTTTACCACTTAAAAAAGTCATTTCGGCCAGGCTCGGTGGCTCATGCCTGAAATCCCAGCACTTTGGGAGGCCAAGGCAGGATATCACTTGAGGTCAGGGGTTCAAGACCAGCTTGGTCAACACGGTGAAACCCCATCTCCGCTAAAAATACAAAAATTAACCAGGTGTGGTGGTGCGCACCTGTAATCCTAGCTTCTCTGGAGGCTGAGGCAGGAGAATCACTTAAACCTGGGAGGTGGAGGTTGCAGTGAGCTGAGACTGCACCACTACACTCCAGTCTGGGTGACAGAGCGAGACTTAGTCTCAAAAAAAAAAAAAGGCATTTTCTCCTCACATCTGGGAACTAATGAACATTGTCTGCATGTGACAGGTGAGGAAACAGGTAGAGAAAGGGAGTGCCCCAAGCAGAGACCCCGCCCCGCCCCCACAGCCTGGCTCTCCTGCCTGGGTTAGTTTGGCCTCTAAAGTGTCCTTAATACAGGCAAAGTGAAACCCACCACAAAGAATCCCTTTTCTCTCTGGAAGTGCTTATGTGATTAATTTGCAGTCACCATGACTCTGATTTCCTCTGCAGAAGACAGCAGTGTATTCCAGGAACGCAATGCAGTGAAAGCAACCACTTGGCCCTTGAGACAGAGCCTCATTTCTGGGAAAGAGGCAGTCTCCTTGGCCGTAAGCGGGTGATGAAGACTCAGCACACTGAGATGGAATGTCCTCAGTTCCCAGTTGAGTGAGCCTACAAGGACTGGGACATCCCAACCTTCGGATGATGATGGAGGTGGGAGGAGACAGTGCCAGGCAGGAGACGTGGGGCTGGGGTTCTGCCCTGTCCTGGTCTGGCTCAGCATTCGGGGCAAGTCGCTGCCCTAGCTGAGGCCAGCTTTGTCAGCAGTGAAACGGGTGAATGCTTGCCTCTGCTTGAATCAAGAGTTTATCAGGGTGCTGTGGGAAAAATTCTATGAAGTTTCTTTGTAACATTAAAAAAAAAAAAAGCCTAACCAGGTGCAGTGGCTCACACCTGTAATCCCAGCACTTTGGGAAGCAGAGGCGGGCAGATCATGAGGTCAGGGGTTTGAGACCAGCCTGGCGAACATGGAGAAATCCTGTCTCTATTAAAAATACAAAAATTAGTTGGGTGTGGTGGCACATGCCTGTAATCCCAGCTACTCAGGAGGCTAAGGCAGGAGAATCACTTGAACCCGGGAGGCAGAGGTTGCAGTGAACTGAGGTTGCACTGGTGACACAGAGCAAGATTCCATCTCAAAAAAAAGAGCCTGTTGCATATTTGCCAGGGGCTGGGCTTTCTGAGAGCAGACAGGGAACAGCTGAGTGTGCTTGAGGGCTCTGGTGTCTTCAGGGCTTCCATCCCCCGTGTGACTCTATCCTTGGCTCAGCGGGCTGTGGAGGACCCAGGTGATGTTCGGAACAGCTGGCAAGAGCCTTCCCCGACTCTGGAGCCTCCCTGTGACTTCTCGTCCCTTGTGAAGGAAGGGGTGGCTGCCCGACCTGTCAGTCCTGGACACTGTCCTGGTCCCCTGGTTGTGAAGCTGCTAGGACAGCCGGATAATCAACACGACGCTCCTCTCCTTCCGTCAGACATCACCACAGAGGAGAAAAGAGCCTCTCCCTAGAGAGAAATCCTGATGTCTGAAACTTCAGCTGAGTGGAGAGAGAAAGGATAATTCTTCACATTTCCCCAGAGCCAGGGCAGCACGAAGGAGGGGCGTTTCAAGGGGAGGATGACCTGGGAGAGAAAGGTGAGCGTGGCACACCAGTCGTGGCTCCCTGGGGACCAGCAGCCAGGTTCCCAGGCCCAGGTATGTGCCTCCTCCCAGGCTGTAACCTAGGAGCTGCCGGGAGGGGCTCTGCAGGTGGAATCAAGGTCCCCATCAATGGACTGCCAGATAAGAGACAGCTGGGGGCCTGAGTCCTTCCAGGTAGAGCACTTTCTTCTGCAGGACCCGGAAGAAGACGTCAGTGTTCAAAGCACGAGAAAGATGGAACCTGCCCTTGCCCCTTTGGGACTTCTAACCTTCAGAATCGTGAGCTAATGAAGGGGTGGGGCTTAAACCATAATGTATTTTTATTTTTATTTTTTAAAAAGTACACTACACAGCAATAGAAAATAAACACCCCCTCCATTAAATTGCACATTTATTGAAAGTTCAGTAGATGTAAATTAGCATATTTGTCTTTCCCTTCCTGAAGCATTTTATTTATTTATTTATTTATTTGGTGACAGTCTCACTCTGTCACCCAGTCTGGAGTGCAGTGGCCTGGCCTTGGCTCATTGCAACCTCTGCCTCCCTGGTTCAAGTGATTCTCATGCCTTAGCCTCCGGAATAGGTGTGACTACAGGTGCACACCACTACACCCAGCTAATTTTTATATTTTTAGTAGAGACGGGGTTTCACCATGTTGGCCAGACTGGTCTCGATCTCCCAACTTCACGTGATCCGCTCTCCTTGGCCTCCCAAAGTGCTGGGATTACAGGTGTGAGCAACTGTGCCCAGCCCCGAAATCATTTATTTTGAAACAATTTCAATATCCCCTTATATAACCACATAAAAAATTCAATCTTGATGAAATGTCTACAGACCTAATCTGAAGTATGAATATGCTCACTTTACAGATAAGGTATAAAAAGTTACATGCCAGGCCGGGCGCAGTGGCTCAAGCCTGTAATCCCAGCACTTTGGGAGGCCGAGGCGGGTGGATCACGAGGTCAAGAGATCGAGACCATCCTGGTCAACATGGTGAAACCCCGTCTCTACTAAAAATACAAAAAATTAGCTGGGCGCGTGCCTGTAATCCCAGCTACTCAGGAGGCTGAGGCAGGAGAATTGCCTGAACCCAGGGGGCGGAGGTTGCGGTGAGCCGAGATTGCGCCATTGCACTCCACCCTGGGTAACATGAGTGAAACTCCGTCTCAAAAAAAAAAAAAAAAAAAAAAAAGTTACATGCCTTACTCAAAGCCATACAAATGGTAAGTGGCAAAATCAGGTTCCACCTTGAAAGCCTGGGCTCTTTTCCTTGTGCTCCATCTGATTCAGTTGGGGTCTAGTCAGAACAAGAGAAACCACTCTGGGTGTTTCAAAGAGCAGAGATTTAATATAGGAAGCCCTGTAACTGCGGGAAGCCACAGCCATTCCTTTGGAAGAATCAGAGAGGGGAATGTGTCAGCCAACAGCCCAAGAATGTGCTCAGCATCCGAGCTCTCAAAGCTTCAGGAGGTGGGACCCCCCCTCCAGCTGCTGCTGAGCAGGAGCCGAGGAGCCGGCCCCTGCACCCGAGGCTGACCTGCCGGAGCCTGTAGCAACCTGCTTCCCATCACTGCCCCAGCAAAGTGGGGGTCTGAATTCACAGCGTCGCCATCAGCTATTGGGAGACCTGAACGAGTCACCTAGCCTCGAATGCCTCATTCCTCTGTAAAATGGGGCATCTGGTTTAGATGATCTGTAAGGTTCATTCCAGTTCTGAAATAACTGCCCTCATTGTGTCCTTGACTTTGAACAACTCACACTTCTGTTTTGTACCTCCTCTTCTTCAGTGGTAGATCTGATAGCAATCCAAAGGGAGGCAAGGGAGCGAGGGGTGGCAGAAGACACCCGCAACGACCAACCTGTGTGCCTGCTGCAGCTGGCTTCTGCCCCAAAGCTTCCCCTCCTCTTCTCCATGCCCCACCCCCTCTGCTTTTTCTCTTGCTCCTCATCTGAGCGCCTTCCCTAGGTTGGGGAATTCCCCGCCGTATAAACTTACAAGGCACTACAGCTGTTGAAACTTTAGGTACTTCCCCAGCCTTCCCACCCAGCAGGGGGGGTGGGGGTGGGATGGGAGGGGGGTGAGGATGAGACTTCCATGGGGGAGCCAGATGCTTCTGCCCAGCCTCTGAAGGTGACTCGAGACACAAAGTAGCCGACTTAAGAGGTGGTGCCCCCGTATGGATCTAGCGTCCTGGGCTGGCCGGAGCTGCTCTCTGATGTGAATTTGGCCAGTTCTGGCAGATTTGGCTAGTTCTCCAGACTTTCTCCAAACCTGTGAGCTACTCAATACCCTTCTAATAGGTTCCTCTCTGATTAAATCACACAGAGTTGTATCCCTAGCTTGCAAACGAAGCCCCTGACTGACACACATGCTATCTCATGTAATGCTCACCACCACCCTAGGGGCAGGTGCTGTTATGGTCTCCATTTTATAGATCAGGAAACTGAGGCACAGTGAGGCCAAGGACCTTTTGAATGAAGTCACATACCTGTGATGGGTGGTAGCCCCCAGATTATGTCACCAATGCAGCCTAAGACATGGCAGAAAATGCCTCAGTGGTGAGGTCAAGTGTGGTAGCTCACACCTGTAATCCCAGCACTTCAGGTTGCCAAGGCAGGTGGATCATTTGAGCCTAGGAGTTCAAGACCAGCTTGGGCAACATGGTGAAACACCGTCTCTACCAAAAATAGAAAAAATTGGCTGAGTGTGATGGCACACACCTATAGTTTCAGCTCCCTGGGAGGCTGAGATGGGAGGATCGCTTGAGCCTGGGAGGTTGAGGCTGCAGTGAGCTGTGATCATGCCACTGCATTCCAGACTGGGCAACAGTCCTATCTCAAAAAAAAAAAAAAAAAAAAAAAAAAAAAAGAAGAAGAAAAGAAAAAAGAAACGTAGCAGTGACAAGCAAACCCTGGTCACTCAGCACAAACTTCTCCTGAGGGCAGAGACGTGTGGTGGAACTGTGCAGCCCCGCCTGCAAGCCAGAGCTGTTCCATCCCCGCTTCATCTCGAAAGGCCATGTTTCCTACAGATTTTTGTTGCAAGCTTGGAACAGATGACCATACCGCATAAACAACAAATTAGGAAAATTAATGTTTTAGTGGAAGAAAACTGATTTTTCTTTTTTTATTTTTTTTCGATATGCGGTTTCTCTCTGTTGCCCAGGCTGGAGTGCAATGGCACAATCATGACTCACTGCAGCCTCAGCCTCCCAGGTTCAAACCATCCTCCCTCCTCAGCCTTCTGAGTAGGTGGGATTCAGGCGTGTGCTGCCACCACACCTAGCTAATGTTTTAAATTTTCTTGTAGAGATGGAGTCTTGCTATGGTTGCTCAGGCTGTTATGAACTCCTGACTTCAAGTGATCCTCCTGCCTTGGCCTCCCAAAGTGCTAGGATTACAGGCATGAGCCACTGTACCTGGCCAATCTCAGAATGCATCTTCGTGGAGAAGTGACTTAGGACTTTATCCTTCACTCAGATTCCCCAAGTGCCATATAACCACAGCACAATTATCAAAATGTGAAAATTAATAATTGGCTAATAATAAGTTAATAATAATTAACTTGCATTTTACCAACTGTCCTAAAAGTGCCTTTTGGGGGGGTTCAGGATCAGTCCAGGGTCCCCCGTTGTGGTTGTTGGTCATCATGTCTCTTCATCCTCCTCCATCTTGCTTTGTCTTTCGTGATTGGGACATTTCTGAGGACATCCAGGCTGGGTATTCTGTGGCACATCCCTTATTTTAGGTGTCTTATGTTTCCTTGTGATTAGATTCAGCATGTGTGTTTTTGGCAGGAATACCACGGATGTCACTCGATATCCTTCTCTATGAATCGTGTCGGGAGGGACGTGCTGTTGATTCCGTCCATTCCTGGTGAGGTCTGCCAGATTCGTCCCCTATAAAGTCACCATCTTCCCCTTGGTCACGGATGAGGATCTGGTGGGGAGATGCTCTCAGTCTGTCCATATCCTGTTTCTCGTGGTATTTTGCCCACTAATTTTAACACCCACTGATGATTCTACTCTGAAATAAGTACACTGTGGCATTTGCCAAATGGTGAGTTTTTTGGTTCCATGATTCTTTCCACATTTATTGGTTGGAATTCTGTAAGAAAAAGCTTTCTCTCTTTCCTCATTCATTCATTCATCTATTTATTTAATTCAGTATTGGCTCATGATTCTTCTTTAATTCCAGGGTCACAGTTCATCTACT